CGGCGCCAACCATTTCATCAAGCACAACTGCATCAACTGCAACACCATCTACGACCACTACAACATCTACAGCAGCACCAACCACTTCATCAAGCACAACTGCATCAACTGCAACACCATCTACGACCACTACAACATCCCAGCAACAACCCAGTACAACAACGAAGACAACTGTGCCATCCACAACACCGAGCACTAGCACATCTACTTCAGCCATGGTGATGGCCACAACAATGACAACCACAACCTTGCCTATCACTGAAACTAGCAGAACTACATCCAGTACAACTATCATGAGGCCCACATCTATAACACCAACTACAACAACAACAACATCCACAACTGCACCTGCCACTATATCAAGTACAACTGCATCAACAACAACCAGCATCAAACCAACAACTTTGACACTAGTTACATTAATGACGACATCCACAATTGCATCAACCACTACAATTACACCTGCATCACCTACAATCACCATGGTACCCACAAATGCAATGTCAACTATAACAACCTTGACATCCACCACTACAGCTACTACTACAACACGAACAGCAGCATACATTACAACAGACATGAAGCCCACAACTGCAGCAACTACAACAACAATGACATCCACAGTTGGGTCAACCACTTCAAGCAGCACAAATACATCTACTTCAACCATGATGAAACCCACAACTACAAGGACAACATCCACAGTTGTGGCTAGCACTGCAACAAGAACAACAGCAACCACTACAACCACCATGAAGCCAAAAACGGGGAGAACAACTACAACAGCACCAGCATCCACAAAAGCACTTACCTCTACAAACACAACATCAAAGACAGCCACCATGAAGCCCACGTCTATAACTCCTGCTGCTACAGGTAAGTTCACGAGTGTGAGGTCAAAGATCCTACCAGCAATACAGACAACTACAATAGCATCCCGTATAGTACCCATGACATCCACAACTACAACACCAACTATTGCAACAGGGACAGTTACAACTATACCTATCACCACAATAGCTTCACCAAAAACCAAAACTGCATCCAGTACAATCACGACAATGCTGACAACAATGACACAAACTAGGACATTTATAACTGTGCCTTCCAGTACAACCACAGTTACATCGTCCACGATGACTATGAAGCCCATAACTACAAAAATGACAACTTCCTCAACTGTGCATGCAACTACATCAAGCACAGCAACATCCAACACAATGACCATGAAGCCCACAACTACACTACCAACTACAACCATGATGACATCCACAACTGCACCTACCACTACATCAACCACAACTGCATCAACTAACACACCAATTAGGACAACTAAAACATTCACAATCGCGCCTGCCACTTCAGGTACAACTAAATCAATGACAACTGCAACGGAACCAAAAATGACAATACCGACTACAACAATATCCACAACCCTCGCTACAACGTCAAGCACAACAGCATCACCAAGAAACACCATGAGGCCCACAACTACAACATCAAATGCGACCATGATGACATCTACACCTGCACCCACCACTGCAGCTAGACTCAATGCAGCCACTGCTTCTACCACAATACCAACAACTATCACACCAACTACAACCACAACTGCACCTACCACTGCAACAAGCACCACTCTACCCATAACAATACCGCCAGCTACCATTTACAATTACAGCAATAACAACATCCACAACCCTACCTACCTCTACATCAAGAACAACTGCATCACCCACAACACCAACTTTGACCACTACCACTACAGCCACAACAAAGTCGACAACGATGACACCAACTGCAACGACATCCACAACTCTGCTTTCCAGAACCACAAGCACAACAGCATCACCTACAACCATGATGATGCCCACAAGAACAACATTGACTACGACAATGACATCCACAACTGCACCGGTCACTGCAAAAATCACCACTGCAACCTCTGTATCCACCACAATCTCGACAACTACCACACCAACTATAACAACATAAACAACTGCACATACCACTACCTCAAGCACAACTGCTTCAATTACAACACTAACTATGACCACTCAAATATGTACCTACCACAAGAGATGTACACACAACCATAACTTACTGAACAGGATCTACAATGAATCCCACAACATATCAAAATCTACCAACCACAGCTCATTCAAAACCTGCAACAGCCACTCAAAAAACATATGCAGTAACTGAAGCTCATTTACTATTAATTACAATTATTCAAAAACAAGTGAAAATCAAACTGAAGCAATTCCTTCTATTACAATACCCACCAAAGCTATCACTTGTGGAAATTTGAAAAGCCACAAGTGAAACACCTGCTACTGCCACAGTTGCTGCGACATTTATGCATATAAGGAAGGGTTACAATAATTAGCTTAGGTGTTTTTCAGCTGTCACATGTAGCATTGTATGCTTCTAGGTATTTCTTTAGCATGACTGTGTTGAAAACTGACTGAAATTCATTTTTCAATTAATGAATCATTGTTGCACCCCCAGGCCAGGTGCTTCACACAACAGCCAGCAGAATGACAGCAGCAATGCTACCCAACCCAACCACCATCATTACCACAACTGCAACCACGTATGTTTGTGTTTTCAGAACTTTGAGAAATTTTAGCTTCAAGTTGTCCTTTGTTGTTGTTTCTTTCTTACAATACAACCTGAGTATCTTAGATGTTTCTCGTCCTGTCATTCTTCCAGTGTGGGATCGGCACTGCTTTATATTCAGCTGGAACTGACAACTAAAGGACCAGTCCCCAGTGCCCAAGACATTCTGAAAGCAGTGAAAACTCTCCCAGATCCATTGCTACTATCCAATATGACCACCTTGACCCAGCCTGAGAAAATCCAGGAAATCAATGTGCAAAGTGAGTTTCCCACTGACCGCATCTGAGTCTGAAATGACGTCACTCACTCCACTTTCTTCCTTGCTATTAGTACAGACCAAGCAATGATTTATAAAGTTTTTAACATTTCTTCATTCGTGATGCTCCAAGCAATAGACGGCTTCTCCCAGGTACTTTGCTATAGATTTACCATATTCAACAAATCCAT